CCGCCGGGTCGGCGGCCAGCTGCAGCGCGAGGGGGCCGCCTGGCGCGAACGCGAGCGGCGCGGACAGCAGCTGCCCGGGCGCGGCGCCGAAGAACGAAAGGTCCAGACCCAACGGGCCGCCGCCGCCGCCGCCGCCGCCGCCGCCCATGTCCATGCCGCCTCCGCCGTGGTGGTCAGTGTGCTCGTCCTCGTCAGCGCCCGCCTCCTCGCCCCCGTCCTCGTCATCGTCCCCGTCATCGTACCCACCACCGCCCCTGTGGTGACGCCCGCCGCCGCCCCCGCCCGCGCCGCGCCCCGCGCCGCGGTGGTCGAATGAGGGGTCGTAGTCCACGTCATCGTCGTCATCGCCCTCCCACGGCGCACGACCACCACCACCGCCACCGCCGCCGCCGCCCTTGCCGCCCCGCGCGCGCTTGGCGGCGCTGCCGCCCCCGCCGCCGCCCCGAGCGCGCTTGGCGCCTGCTTGCCGCCGGGGTGGGGATGCAGCGGCAGCGCCACCATAAGGGTACTCGTCGCCGCCGCCGCCGCGGGGCCCGCCGCCGCCGTGGGCGCCCCATTCGTGCGGCTTTGGCCGCGTGATGCACTTGCCCTGGCTGCGCTGGTAGCGCATGCCGCACTGCAGCGACGGCGGATGGGCGGGCGGTTGAGCGGCGGGTCCGATCGAGGTGCGGTGCGCGGGGCGTGCGTGCGCTGCGGCCACTCCAAACACACACTCATGTGCAGGCGTGAGAGCCCAACGCAGGCAACCCCTGCCTGCCTACCCACCGCGTTGCACAGAGTCCGCGGGCCTGAGGGTGGAGAGGGTGGCAGCATGGATGGGTGAAGGGGGGGGGGCAGGAGGGGGAGTCCGGCCGCTAGCCATGGCGCAGGCAGGGCGGACTAAATCAGGCAATCACTGCAGCACAGACTGACACGCCTGAGATCACATGGCCTGCTTTCCTGCGGCCCTCAACTTCGCGCACAGCCCCGCCCCAACCCGGGCCACCGTGCCGCAGGCGCCCGCTCACCCGCGGGCCCCTCCCTCCACTGCGGCGTCGCCTTGGCGCCGCACTCGTAGCACATCGTCCCCGGCTTCGGCGGCCGGCCGCCGCCCAGCGCCGCCGCCGCGCCGACCGCACGG